CTACTTTTCTAAAACTAAAGTCGGCTAATTAAATACTTATAAGTAATATATATACTAGTAAAGCTAGAATCCTTTTAGAGAAGTTCTTTCTAATATTTACTATAGATTATACTAGTATATTTAACTAGTAGTTTAACTAAAATAGCTTTTCTTTTTAATATTACCTTACCTAAGAAGTAACAAAAGCTAATATAACTATAGCTATAAGATATATCTTATAAAAAGCTAAGAGCTTTAACTAGCTTATAAATAGTTTTCTTAAAAAGGATAAGAAACTACTTTACTTAGCTCTAGTAGTAATGACTAAAGTAAGCTTTATACTCTAGTACTTTTTAGCCTAATTTAAAAAAGTAAAAGTAGTTATACTCTAGAAACTAAAGAAGATAAAAGAAGAAAAAGAGTAAGCTAGAACCTATAAGCTAATCATATTACTATCTGTAGTTAAGAAAGTAATTAAAAAGCTTATAATAATTTAGTTAATTTATTTAATAAAAATTAAAGAAATACTTTTGGAGATATAAATAGAAAATAAATCTAAAAAAAATACTAAGATAACTATTAAGATAGTAATATAAGAAGTTTATATTACTTAGAGTAATAAGTATTATATATTACTAGTATAGCTAGATATAATAAAAGTATATAATAAAGTAAACTATAAATAGCTTTTTTATACTCTCTAAGAAAAGGGAGTCCTAAGATAGATAGTAGTATAGATAGCTAGCTACTTTACTAATAAGAAGGCTTTACTCTTTTTAAATAAAGGACTTACTAAAGAATAATACTTATACTAAAAAGTACTTTAAGGCTCTATTCTATTACTTATTTTATTTACTTTAATATTATACTAAGACCTTAGAAGAATAAAAGAACTAGTTACTATAAGATTCTTAGGTAATATAAACCTACTTACTATATCTACTAGTATAAAAGAAAATATTTATATTCTTAAAAGTAGATAAAAAATATATAAAGATTAAGTAAATAAAAGAAGAATGGTCTTCGGCCCTAGAAAGAGCGAGCTTCTCTACTTTACTAGAACTAGAGAACTATAGTAAAAGACTATAAAATTTAATAATAAAATTCTTACCCTAAGAGATAATATAAGGTTTTTAAGAGTATAGCTTAATTATAAACTTAAGTAGAAGGTATATAAAGATATTATTTAGAAAAAGCTTATCATATAAACCTTTTATTTAACTAGGCTATTAGCTAAGACCTAAGGTATTAACTATAATAAGTCGTAGTAGATCTATACTATAGTTATTAGGAGTACGATTATATATAGAGCGTTTATATAGTATTACTAAATAATAAGGGATAATAAGATTAAGGATATAGTAAGGTCCTTTATAACCTACTAATTAAAGTATTTCTAAGTAGTAATAAAAGTATATAAAGCTATAGCTATTAGAGACCTTAAGCTAGAAGGTAACTACACCCTAATTAACCTCTATCTAAATACTATATAGCTAGGTTTAAAGCTAGCTATAAAAACCTTCTAGTAGGAAAGATAGTATAGGAAAAGTATAAGAAAATATAGTACTAGCTTAGAATTAGAAGAAGGGGAAGACTAGTAGTCTATAGCCGCCTAGTAGAATAGTTAACTAAAAGTAGGAGTAGATAAACTAAGGATTAGCTTAAGAGTAATAAGAATACTATATATAAGAAGGAGGTACTACTAAAAGACTAGTTAAAAAAAATCTAAGTAGAAAGAGAATAAACCTAGAAGAAGTACTTATAATAGAAACTCTAAGTATTAGATAAAATAGATATATTTAATAAAGTATAGTAACTAAAAAACCTTTATAAGAACCTTTTAAAAGTAAAGAGCTCCCTTCTAGTTTAAGTAAGAACTAAGAAAATAAGCTTTAGAGAGTTTCTTTTCTAGAAACGAGTCCTTAGCTAGTAGACTCTATACTACTAGTATAAGCTTAGGACAAATAACGTAAACTACTTAGTACTATATTATAGTAAACTTTTAGAAGGGAGATAACGTTTATAAAGAGTACTAAGAGGCTAGATAGCTACTAGACTAAAGGATATATAAGATACGCTTAAATATAACTAGAAGGTACTAGTACTACTAGAGTAGCTACTCTTACTAGGAAGGCTAAGTAAGTCTTACCTAGTACTTAAATTAGAAGGTAAAGAGAGAGAGAAGAGATAGAAGAATAGCCCTCTCAGTAGCTATAGAGGGACTAGTCCTATAATAAGTAACCTATCCAAGGAAGAGACTCTAGTATCTCTAGAGCTCTTAGTTAGTATTAGTTTATTTTATTTTTACTTTACTTTTACTTAGTTTATTTATTTAATTTAACTTATTTTATTACTTTCTTTTATACTTTAGTAGCTAAGCTCTAGCTAATAACCTAGGACCTTACTCTTAGCTAATAAGTAGGTAGCTAAGCCTTATACCTTATATTAGTAGTAAATAATAGAGCGTATAGTAAGTAAGACTTATTAACCTAGTTAGATTTAGATAAGAAGAAGTACTATATACCCGTAGGGTAGGCTTTATACCTAGCGGTATAAGATAAATAATAACAGTTATCCTTTAGTTTATAGCCTTTTTAGTATACAAGGTATTTCTCTTAGCTTATAGATATAACCTTTTTTTTAATTATTTACTTAACCTTTTATTCTAGGTCCTAGCTAACTATAATTATATTAGGTTTTACTAAAATAAGTCTTTTATATAAGTCTTAACCTTAAGGCTTAAGCTCTAAGTATATAACTAATATAACTAAGTAGATCTTTATTAATTTAAGTAATTCTAGTCTATATACTAGTTTACTTACCTACTCTATAACCTATAATAAGCCTATATACTATATATAGATCTTTTTATTATTCTTTACTACTGGCAAGTTATATCCCTTATATAGTTATAAGAAAACTTTATCCTTTATCTTAAAGAAAATAAGTTTATAATTGTTATTATAAAATGACTTTATATATACTACTACTTCTACTAGTATATTAGCTACTTTAATTCTTACTATTAGTATATTTAATATATTTTTATATTAGAAATAAGGCTAATTAAAGTGTTTAAAAAGAAGTTATAATATAATTTATTTAGTAATTTTCTAGTTACTAATAATCTATAAATTACCTCCTTTATAAATATAATTAGTATCTAAGTTCTAAGGTACCTAGGTACCTATATAGGAATACTAAAAACTATAACTACTACTTTCGCGCCTATATCTAGCTAGAATTATATTTAAAATAAATATAAATTAAATATAAATATACTATTTAGGTTATTCTAGTATTCTCGCTATACTATTATAATATCTATAGCTAGTAGGGTATAGGCTAGTATACTAAGAGTATAATATAGACTAAAAGTATAGATTATATTATATTAAGATATTAAGCTAAGAGTATTCGAGCTTCGTATAAGGTATATAGCTATATTAAGAAACGTATCTTAAACTACTACTTACGCCTATATCTAGCCAGAATCGCGCCTAAAATATATATAGAATAAGTATTGATATTCTAAGTATCTAGGCTATATTGTAGTATTCTTATTATATATTTACGTTATTTATAGCTAGTAGAGTATAGGCTAGAAGCTAGATAAATCTAACCGTATATTTTAGTAAGGTATTAGAGGTATATTACCTTAGCGCTATAGTATATAATTAATTACCTTTATATCTTTTTCTTAGTATTTATCCTTTCATTAAATAACTTATTATTATTAAAGTATAAAACCTTAACTAAGATACTAAAGTAGGAGCTAGTATAGCTAGCGAGGCGTACTTATAACCTAATTACTTAATAATAAATTAATTAATAATTCATAAATATATATATAAATTAAATAACCTTATAAAGAAACTATTAAACGTCATAAAAGACCGAGGGTAAGTATATAAGCCTATCTAGTCTTATAAAAGTAATAATATTATAAAGCTATTTAATAAGTCTTTATTCGCGTTAGAGTTAAAGCTTCTTTATAAGTTCTAGCTTCTACTTAAAGACTTTTATTTCCTTCTTAAATCTATTAAAATTGCTATTGAATAGAAAGGCTTTCCTAGTAAGGTTTATAATGTAACTAAAGTACTATAGTGTAACGAATACTCAAACTGGCTAACTAAACTTGGCTGGGTGTTCGCTGGTTGGTATGCTATGATAAGAAGAAGACTATCGGGTTGTTCACTTGGAAGTGAACTCGTTACTTGTATCAAAGATGTCAAACTAATATGATAAGATTGATAACTAAGTTGAGCACGAAGCTCCTATCTAATGGCAGACGTGCCAGTCTTATATAGAACCTTCGTTCTCTGTGGTCGCCATGATCTCGCCCCATTACGTGTCAATGTTGTCTCTCCTGGTGCTACAGACACCGAGTTGTGGGGTGCTGATGCTTAGTTCTTGCGAGATATGTCTAGCAAAAACTCCCTCCTTGGCAAGCCTGGCAAGCCGGAGGATGTTGCCGAAGCCTTTGTGTATTTGACGAAGAATGTTGACGCTACTGGCTCTATTGTGAGTAGCAATGGTGGCGCACCACTCAAGTAGGAACAATTTTGTATTTGAATCAGAGACGGAAAAGTGCAATTGTTACTTGCCATTTGGATATAGAAAAGCGCGGGGTAGGAGGCCGCGATCTATATCTACTTAGTTCGTGAATCTCCATACTATAGCAAGTCATCGAAATATACTTCTTGCTAAGGCGGCCAATGAATTTATGAGTGGTGATGTAATTGAATTTTGCCTATAGTAATAACTTGGAATATATGATAACGTATTTAGATGTGGAAATCCTGCTATACAATTAACATTAGTGTGCTGCGAAAGGTTGGTTCATTAAATTCATTAATAGGCCAATTCAACTATAAAGTATAGCTTACCAATACTTAGATACCATAACCCGTGTATTATTAAAAAGATACCTAGCTATTATATGTCAATCGGCCCCTATAACCACTACTACCGTTTTCCTACCTCCCCTCTGTATGTGTTCCCTCCCTTAATTACTACTTCTATTCATGTTGGTTGGCAGGGATTAGTGTTAGGCGAGTCATCTCTAGTCTTGGGATCAGACCGTCAATAACGTCTGTCGTGAAGTTCTCTAATCCCTCGCCATCCTTGCTGTGGTACTTTCGCAGAGCCTGAAGAGCCTCCATGTCTTCTGCTGTGAGCTGCTCTTGGATGTCAACGGGTGTGGCAATGCCGTCTCCATTGGTGCTGTTGATGGGTGGGTCGAATACTGGTTTGAATGCTTTGTTCAAGAACTCAATTGTCTTGGAGAATTCAGCTTGCGTAATCTTGCTAGTGGCATCAGTAGTTCCTTGGATAACTAGTCTCAACAAATTAGTTATGAGAAATGCTCAAAGTCTATTATCCTAGAGGAACCTACCCGGTCTGAAGAAGCTGAAAGCTCTGTCAAAGTCGTCCTCGCCGTAATCAGCCAATACCGACTGCCCCTGGTTTCGCATCTGTTTGTATGCGCTCAATACAACAATCAAGAACCGTGCATAACCATGCTTGATCTTATTAGAATGCCATTCAGCTGCGGTAACCTCATCTACATCACCTTTGATGCTGGCAGCGATAGTGGTGCCTGCAGAGAGGCCACCAGTTCCCGCAAGATGGACGCCGGAGGAAAAAAAGGGATCGATAAAGCAACCTGCATCACCGACGATTCTGGCGTAAGGTAATGCATAACTGGATGAGTGAGTGGTAGGAGTAGTCCGAGGCGGACTTGACAGGTGTCACTCGCTCGCCCTTGCCGAGAAGCTCGATCAGCATAGGAGCTTGCTTTAGAGATTCCATGTAGAACTCCTCTGTTGAGCTGTAGGCTCCTTTCTTCTTGATAGCTATTTCCTGGTTCATGACGACGCTTATCGACTGAGTACCGTCATGCAGCGGAATGAGCCAGGCCCATCCACTCTCATCTATGTTCCGAATTGTTAGTGGCTTTTGAACAGGCCTCATAGGGTTGATCAGCAATACCTCGTAATGCCTCGAAGAAAAGGGAGTTTTCACGCGAAGTCCCACTTCCATATGTGCCACTTCCCTTGAAGTAGGCCCAGTTGGCAACATTCTTGAGTGCTTTGTTGTAGTGGCGGTTTTTAGGTACTTGGTGTTCAAAAAACCAGCGCGGCCGGTAGCGTCAACGATGTAGTCGAAATGAATAATGCCGTTTGTTCCTTCGCCCTTGCTGGACCAAGCAGCAGAGACGGGTCGTCCAATAATCCCAGAGATCTTATCCGTATTTTGAGACTGATCAAACTCAATGGAGTTGATCTTGATTCCCTCAAAGGTTTTTGCGCCGCTCTTAGCGGCATGTCGGAAAAGGATCTCATCTGCCTCGGAGCGGATGACGTTCCATGAGTAGTTGTTCGAACCACCGGTAGCAAGGAAGTCGGTGTCTATTTTTGAATGTTAGCATTGAACGCATTGAGAGTCTTCTGGAAAACAGTTACATCCTTCTCGGTCCGTAGGATTCATCTTGAATGCAGCTCCAGGCTTGACCATAAAACCATACGAATCGAAAGTCTTATCAAGGTCGATAAACTTAAGGTAGTGACGGAAAGATGGCAGCAGGCTTTCTCCAATATGGTATCTAGCCAGGTATTAAATAAAGGTTGATACTCTACTTTCAAATGGCAAGTCATACCTAGGATGGTGTTCCATTTCTACAAGGACGGTATCGATACCTTCACGGCCTAGGACGGAAGCCGTGTAAGACCCCGCTGGACCCCCGCCTACGACGAGGACTTGACACTTTTCGGGGAGAGTCATTTTCGTATCTATTGTTTCACTCCAGATGGCATAGAAATTTGTGAAAGGCTAGGGTAGTTATGGTTGATAAAATGCAAATGAAAAGAAAAAAAGACCCCGGCTTCGATCAGAAAGAGTTATGTGGGATGTCCAAAGTTCTTCGAGATAAACTGATTTTTAAGTACAGACTACTACACAGTTATTTATGACTGTCTACTTTCACCTTAACTTTGAGTTCCGCGGTCTTACTTTTAATCTGCGGCCTGCACACGGCCATAATGATTCCTCTGCGCCTTAAAAACTATGGCCCGCGCCGGGGCAACAATATCATGTTACGCGAGGGCAATCAGATATAGCATAGTTGATATTGAGAACAGCCATGCCAAGCAGGTGAGGCTTCCTGGTGTCGCAGTTTTCTCAGTTCGTCATATAGTCCGTCCTGAAACTCCGAGATTTACATCTTGCCCATCTGTATTGTTATTAGTAAGAACCAAGATCCGCGTGAGGAGGCAGAACGGACTAACAGGGAGGAAGAGTAAAGCTTAGCTTGGAAGTGTAAGTTTGGGAATCTTCAATTACTAACCTATGGCCTCTAAGCCTTCCAAATTCCTCGATCCTTAACACTACTTTCGCCCCTCCTGGAGATCGAGTTCTTATATTCCACACTTTTGAGTTGAAGACTATGAAACGTCACTCGTGCAAGATTTGATAGTCATGCCTCTTCAACAACCTCTTCCGATCCAGGATGGTACCGTCTACCTATTCGGGCCTCAGGCACTTGTATATACCCCTTCTATGTTCAACGAGCTGAGAGCGGGTATATGGGAAAAGGCGGAATGGAAGTGGCTCACGGATACTATCTCCAGCTTGCCTGACTGCTGGGATGGATTTGTCACGCAGTTCCCACAATTTCAGGGTGGTGGCAGCAAGCAGATCCAGGAGTTGCTGGAGGCTTTCACCATGGGAGTGGCTTGTGAGGCGCCGTTGCCCAACATCCTTCTCAGCCCGTTGGTGGTCATGACCCAACTGGTCGACTACGTCGGCTACCGACAAAACAACACCGGGCCCATCGTAGACACACTCGGCTTCTGCATGGGGCTTCTCAGCACCTTTGCGGTGGCCTTGAGTGTTGACGAGGCCGACTTGGAAACATACGGCTCCAATGCCATCAGGTTGGCGCTTCTCATCGGTGGCATTGTCGATGCTCAGGACGTTGCCAGTCCCGACGGCCCATCCGTCGCATTCGCAACGGCATGGAACGCGGATACCGGCACCGGTACCGACACCGGCACCGAGGCCGATGTGACGCGGATTTTGAAAAATCACCCCGACGCCTACATTTCCGTATCCTTTGATCAGCGACGAGCCACGGTAACCACCGCGGCGCGATCAGCTGAGTCCCTGCACCAGGACCTTGGAGAGGCAGGAATCGTCGTATCCCCGATTGCTCTTCGTGGCCGCTTCCATCACAATTCGCTTTCGGCTGCGATCGCGTCCATTTCAACATACTGCGACTCCCAACCCCAGCTCGCCTTGCCACTCGCTTCCGAATTGAAGCAGGCAACGTCACATGACCTTAAGGCAAACGTTCCCTTCCATACCCACGCCCTTGGAGCCATCCTCTTGGAAAAGTGCGAACGGTATCAAACTTTTCAACGTGCGAAGAGGAACTGGTCATTGACCAGCAGAATTGTCACCGTGGGGCCGGAGCGATGCGTTCCACCCTCCTTTGCCACCGAATTGGCGTCACAGTTATGCCAGAATGGTGAGAACCAGGCGCCGCTCCTTTCTTTACAACCACAAGCCCGTAAGGCCGACGACATTGCGTTCATAGGCATGTCGATTAAGGTGGCTGGTGCCGATGATCTCGACGAATTTTGGGATGTGCTCTGCGCCGGACAATCCCAGCACAGGGAGGTGCCCAGCGAGCGGTTTGACTTTGACCAAGTCTGGCGCGAAAAAGACCCTCGAGACGCGAGAAAGTGGTTTGGCAACTTCATCAACGACCACGACGCCTTTGCTCATAAGTCTTTCAAAAAGAGCGCGAGAGAGAGCGCGACGACCGACCCCCAGCAGCGCCAGATGCTGCAAGTGGCCTACCAAGCCGTAGAGCAGTCCGGCTACTTTGGGCGTCCCAATCCGGACCGGCAGATCGGGTGCTACATTGGTGTCTGCGCGGCTGACTATGAGAACAATGTTGCCTGTTACCAGCCGAACGCCTTTACGGCAATTGGGAACCTGAAGAGCTTCATCGCCGGCAAGATCAGTCATTGGTTTGGCTGGACGGGTCCTGGTCTCTGCATCGATACAGCGTGTTCTTCGTCTCTAGTTGCCGTACATCAAGCGTGCCAGTCGCTTCTATCAGGTGAAACTACCGCGGCTCTCGCAGGAGGAGCAAACATCATGGCTCACTCGCTGTGGTTCCAGAATCTGGCTGCCGGCTCATTCCTTAGTCCCACCGGCCAGTGCAAGCCCTTTGACCAGCACGCGGACGGATATTGCCGTGGCGAGGGTTTCGCAGCTGTTTTTCTCAAGAAGATGTCTACCGCTATCGCAGACGGTGACCAGATCTTAGGCACTATTTCTAGTACTGGGGTTCTCCAAAACCAGAACTGTACTCCTGTGTTTGTCCCAAACTCGCCTTCGCTTAGCGATCTCTTTAGCCGAACCTTGGCCCGCGCCAAGCTCTCTCCTGAGCAGATCGGCTATGCTGAAGCACATGGGACTGGAACACAAGTAGGTGATCCTGCCGAATACTCGAGTATCCGTGATGTGATGGGGGGCTCCAACCGCACTCGCCCCTTGTTCTTTGGATCCGTCAAGGGGCTCGTGGGCCATACTGAGTGTGCCTCGGGCTTGGTATCTTTAATCAAGTCTCTTTTGATGATTCAAAACCGCGCTATGCCGCCTCAAGCCAGCCACAACACCCTCAACAGGGCGCTACATGCCTCGCTAAGTGACAAGATGGAGCTGGTCACGCGTCTCACTCCCTGGGAGAAAGAGCCCTTCAACATTTTAATCAATAACTACGGGGCCTCAGGATCGAATGCGTCTATGGTCGTGTCCGAAGCGCCGTATTTCAGTTCTAGCTCAAGAGGAAATGCATCCTCGTAAGCTGCGATAGAGTATCCAATCCGCCTCGCTGGTGCGGACCACCGAGCATTGAAGGAATACAGCGCCAGATTGAGAAGTTTCCTCAACTCCAAAGCTAGAAAGCTCACGTATAGCAGCCTCGCTTTTAACCTCTTCCGCCAATCGAACCCCACGTTAGACAAGGCCGTGGCCTTCAGTGTTCGCTCTACCAAGGATGTGATTCAAAAACTGCTCGATTTTGAGATGGGCAGTGATGGTGTCTCCTCTTACCCACAACAAAACGCTCGTCCAGTAATTATGGCTTTTGGTGGCCAGGTCAGTACTTTCGTTGGCCTTGATCCCGCTGTGTATCAAAATGTTAAAGTTTTCCGTCACCATTTGGACGAGTGCGACTCGGCTGTTCGCTTGCTTGGCGGCGATAGCATCTTTCCCCTAATCTTCCAGCGAAGTCCTGTCGCGAATGCTCTTCAACTTCAACCAATACTCTTTGCTATGCAGTACTCCTGTGAGAAGAGCTGGATTGATTGCGGCGTTAGTCCTACTGCCGTTGTCGGGCACAGTTTTGGAGAGTTGGTGGCAATGTGCGTTTCTGGGGCCATCACCCTTCATGATGGAATGAAAATGATCATCGGTCGCGCCACTGCTATCATGGAGACATGGGGCGAGGATCGTGGTTCAATGATCGCCATTGAGGCTGATCTTGAAGTGCTACAAAAACTTCTTCAGAAGTCCAACAGCCGCTGCAGCGAGGCTGGTGAGATATCAGCAAACATTGCATGTTTCAACAGTGCTCGTAATTTTACAGTTGCAGGTTCCACGACCAGCATTGAAATGCTCGTCGAAACTCTTCAACAGGATGCCGAGTTCTCATTGCTACGCAACAAACGGCTTAATGTCACCAACGCTTTCCACTCGATACTTGTGGACCCACTAGTACCCAAGCTCGACGAGATAGGACAGAAGTTAACATTCTCTAATCCATCAATTCATGTTGAAATGAGCACAGAGTCAGCCACGCGCAATCGACTGGGTCCATCGTATATTACTGATCACATGCGAGATCCCGTCTATTTTCATCACGCCGTTCACAGACTTGCACAGCGATACCCATCCGCAATCTGGATTGAGGCCGGTTCAAACTCTACTATTGCTAGTATGGCTGCCAGGTCTTTGAATGGGCCTAAGACTTCACATTTCCAGGCCGTTAACATCACCGCGGAGAATGCAATGCAAAACCTCTCGAGAACAACCATCGAGCTATGGAAGCTGGGCCTGAAGCTGGTTCACTGGTCACATCATCAATCTCAAACCTATGATTACGAAATTTACCACCTTCCCCCCTACCAATTCGAGAAATCGCGTCATTGGCTGGGCCTGAAGCCGGTTCCAAAGGTCATGGATCAGTCAGTGATGCAGGACGTCGTCGTTCAAAAGGCTCCTGAGGGTCTCTGGAGTTTTGTTTCGTACAAAGACATTGAGAAGAAGTCGGCTCGCTTCCGTATCAACACAATGAACCCCGAATACAAGGAGCTAGTGTCAGGACACATTATTGTAAACACTGCTCCAATATGTCCTGCAACTGTTGAGGTCGATATTGTAGTCGAGGCGCTTCTTAGTATTCAGCCTACAGATTCTATTGATAAGCTTCAGCCACGCATCGAAAGTGTTACAAACGAAGCTCCAATTTGCGATGATCCCACGCAATCTGTCTGGCTTGACATTCATATAATTGGAGTCAATACCTGGACCTGGAAGATAACTAGTGATTCCCCATCGAAAGTTATGAGTATTCTGCACGTCTCCGGTAAAATAATTCTGAGTCCGAAGAACGATCTTATCGGCCCATCGGAGTTTTCCAATTTTGAACGCCTGGTTGGACACCAGCACTGCGTGGATATTCTCAATAGTGTAGATGCCGAGCACATAATCCAAGGACGTAGTATTTATAGTACCTTCGGCTCAGTCGTTGACTATGCTGAACCTTACAGGGGTGTTCGAAGGATTGTCGGCAAGACCTACGAGTCTGCTGGTCGTGTGCTCAAGAAGCATGCGGGTAAAACCTGGCTGGATGCTCATCTTGCCGACTGCTTCAGCCAGGTAGGTGGTATCTGGCTCAACTGCATGACCGACTGTAAACCTGAGGACATGTACATTGCAGTCGGCTTTGAAAGATGGATCCGCTCACCAGATTTCTCGATCGACGGTAACCCTTCAGGCATCTGGGATGTTCTTGCTAAACACCATCGCAAGTCGGAGAAGGACTATGTGTCTGATATATTGGTCTTTAATACAAGCACTGGTGCTTTGTCGGAGGTAATTTTGGGTATTAACTATCACAAGGTAGCTAAGGTTTCCATGAGCAAGATGCTTATCAAGCTCACAAATATGCCTGTTGTGGGAGCAAAGACTGTACCTTCAAGCAAGCCGACTGCCGAAATATTCCCAAATCCACAGACAGCTTCAATGAAGAAGCCCAATTCCGAAGGGAGCGAAGGAGATACCACGTTCACCTTGATCAACATCTATGACAAGGTTAGGGGCCTGTTGGCTGAAATCTCTGGCCTCGAGCCTACAGAGATCAAAGACAACACTGAACTTGCTGATATTGGTATTGACTCCCTGATGGGTATGGAGCTGTCCCGAGAGCTGAGTGGAATGTTCAAAGCAGAAATGTCGATCGAGGGACTCTCTAGTGTGACCGACTTTCGCAGCCTCGTCGCATGCGTGACAGGTGCATTAAGCATTAGCGCCGCGATCAGTGACGATAACTCTTCTAATGAGGCGGGGAGACCTTGTCTGAAAACAGTATGTCGTCTCTTAGCTCGGTGGATGAAGACACAGATACCCATCACAAGACATTGGGAGATTTGCAACTTTCAAGCTCCGCGGTCCACGACGCCTTTAAAGAGGTCAAAAACCTCACGGACCAGTTCATTGAAGACTTTCACTGCACGGAATACTTGAAGAACGTTCTGCCCTTACATAATGAACTCTGTGTAGCTCTAGTTATTGAGGCTTTTGAGAAGTTGGGGCAAACACTCGCACTGGCCAAGGCTGGCGATGTGTTGCCCCGAATCAACCATGCCCGTGAGCATGGAAGGTTGACGGACTACCTCTACAAAATGCTAGAGAAGGAGGCACATCTCGTTCAGCTTGATGGTTCCCAAATCACGCGCACATCGACCCCCGTAACAACTAAGCCTAGTCAAGTAATATTAGACCAGCTACTCGCTTCATTCCCGGATCATACCTGGGCAAACAAGCTCACCCATTTTGCGGGCGGACTGTTACGGAGTTGGAGGAACTGGGGGAGGATCACGTGTAGCATGGCCCGTGCGTGCTACTGGACTCCTGTATTTAGGCTCTCGTTCCTCTGGAACTCTCTTCTTCTCTCACTTAGTTGTTCGTTCAATATAGCAGTTTCCGGTTTGACTCAGTATTCATCACAGCAAGCAGTGCAGCTCGCAGAGGTTCTCCGAGGCGACGTGGACGGCATTAAGCTCATCTTTGGGTCCGTGGAGGGCAGAGAGCTGGTCACTGGGCTCTATGGTGACTCTCTCCTTAACAAGTTGGCCAACGTCCAGATGCAGGACATGCTGTCCCGTCTCATCTCAAGTATTCCCAATTTTGATGGGCCACTTAGAATCCTGGAGCTTGGAGCAGGTACCGGCGGCACCACTACTGGCATGATCGAGGTTCTCTCGAAGCTCAACATTCCGATCGAGTACACATTTACCGACCTCTCGGGTTCATTTGTGGCACTGGCTCGCAGGAAGTACGCACAGTGTTCTTTCATGAAGTTTCGCGTCCACGACATCGAGAAGTCGCCTGCTTCAGATCTTATTGGCACGCAGCACATCGTTCTGGGGAGCAACGCCATCCATGCGACACGCAGCTTGACTGTTTCCGTGTCCAACGTCCGAAAAATGCTGCGACCGGATGGATTCCTCATGATACTGGAGATGACCCAGCCACTATACTGGGTCGACCTTATCTTTGGTCTCTTCGAAGGTTAGTGGCTCTTTGCAGACACTCGAAAACATGCAATTGCCCCGATATCACAGTGGGAGAAAGAGCTTGAGAGCGCCGGTTATGGCCATATCGACTGGACCGATGGCGAAAGACCAGAAGTAGCAATCCAGAAAGTCATTATTGCCTTTGCTTCAGGAACAAGGTACGAAGGAAATTTCCATGCCCCCACAGGCTTATCAGTGCCAGTCACTGACGTCGACTCTGGTCGAAAAGACCAGATTGAGGAATACATTTCGAGATACTCGAGAGGATTTTGGGTTCCAGACCCAATAACTAGAAGTATATCATTGACTCAAACTAAGTGTATCATCGCCGTCACGGGAGCAACAGAAAGTTTAGGAGCCCATATTGTGGCTCACCTAGCCACCTTACCCGAAGTCACTCAGGTGGTTTGCATCAACCGACGAAGCACAACTGGAGTTTCCAACGAGCGTCAACTAAAATCTATGGACATGCGTGGTCTTCTACCCGATGCGACTTCCAGGACCAAACTACGTTGTTTGCAGACAGATACGGCCCAACCTTATCTTGGACTGTCTCAAGAGATATACAATGAGCTCACCCAGACTGTCACCCATTTGATACACAACGCCTGGCCTATGACGGGAAAGCGGCTGGTGACAGGTTTAGAGACCCAGTTCAAGGTGATCCGCAATCTCATCGACTTTGCCAGAGATGCCACTTCCCAACGACCTAGTCAATTCAAGTTCACCTTTCAGTTCATCTCTAGCATTGCTGTCATCGGAAACTATCCCAAGCAGCTTGTCCCAGAAGAGCGTATGGAATTGGCGTATATTCTAAATAACGGCTACGGCGAGGCCGAATTCATCTGCGAGAGCATACTGGACAAAACGCTTCATCGATTCCCAGATTCTTTCTGCACCATGTCGGTGCGGCTTGGCCAAATCGCAGGGTCCAGTATCACCGGCTATTGGAATTCCGACGAACATCTGCCGTTTCTGATCAAATCCTCACAGACATTGGGGGTGCTGCCAGCCCTCAAGGGCGACCTGTGCTGGACGCCCGTGAACGATGTAGCTGGTACGCTGAGCGACCTCGTACTCCGCACTGGAATCCGATATCCCTTCTATCACATCGACAATCCCGTCAGATAGTCATGGGAAGAAATGATCCCCAAGTTGGCGGAGCAGATAGACATCCCTCAGGGAAACGTGCTGCCGTTTGGCGAGTGGATTGCACGGGTGCGTGCCTTTAAAGGCACTGCGGAGGACAATCCAGCAGCTAAACTGGTTGACTTTCTGAATGAAAATTTCTTGCGGATTTCCTGCGGCGGCTTGTTGCTTGAGTCGAAAAAGTCTTGTGCGCATTCATCTACCTTGAATGCTGTAGTGCCGGTGGATTTCGATACTTTGAAGAAGTATATTACGTGGTGAAAGAGGAGTACGTTCTTACGAGCTTGAGTGGGTTTTCCTTGGGCGTATAAATAAGACTTATGGTAGTAGATAACGTATATTTATATAGATATTTAGAGATGCTAGATTCAATAGTATAAAAGAAATGGTTTAGCGATAGATATTTAGTTCTATTCTTAAAATACTTAAATAATAGTTTTTAGAGCCTTTTTAGCTAGTAAGGCCTAAAGGGACACTTGCTTTCCCTAACCTTAAGCGATAGCGTAGAGGAAAGCGTACTAACTATTACATGTCCGTAGGCTATTAGCGATGTTCCCCGAACGGTTTATAGGTTAACAACCTTTAAGAACTATCTTATTACTAATACAAAGTTATAAGGTTATAAACTCGATTTTGAGAAACCAGTAAGGAGTACTTTATTAGAGGGTGGGTATAATAATCGCGCGGAGTTATAATAAAGCAAGACAAATAAAAGGTTCCTACTGGATTCCAGTTACCACGGAGTTAAGCGGAGTTTGTTAACACATTAAAATTTCCACTATGTTATATATACTTCAATTCTCGAGATATTTAGGCATAAGATAACTTTCCACCTCTTTCATCCGACACAATTGTATTAGTCTTTGGTAAACCTCAGGATAATAAAAAATCGATTCCAGCAATTCAAGATGAGCCCAAAGTACGCAAAAGATCAACCCGCGGGCTTCACCAACCGTATCGAAAACGTCGCTATCGTTGGTGTAAGTATTTATCTTGCTGTTTCCGTTTTTCCCCTCGGGGGAATATGGACATGAATTTTATAGTGTCAAGAAAGCCGCCAGAAGCCAGATCCTAGCTAACCAATCTTTCCAAGGTCGGCGGGCAAGTTGGTAGCTATATCACCAAACACCTCATCAACACCAAGAAGCATGTCATCACGGCCATCACTAGAAGTGACAGCACAAGCGAGTTTCCCGAGAGTGTCAAGGTCGCCAAGGTCGATTATGACAATGAGCAAAGTCTCATCGATGCGCTCCAGGGGCAGAAGTTCCTGATCATCTCCCTGGCTGTCATGGCACCCAAAGACACGGAGCAGAAGCTCATTAAAGCCGCGGCTGCAGCTGGCGTGCCCTGGATCCTGCCCAACTCCTACACGGCAGACTTGGAGAACAAAAGGCTCTGCAACGAGAACCTCAACGGCGCTGGCGTGCTGGCGAGCATTGATGCTATTGAGAATGCCGGCGTATCTTCATCGGTGGCGCTTGTGTCCTCTTACTGGTACGAATTCTCGCTCGCGGTGCCTGCGCACTACGGGTTTGATATCACGGCGAAGAAGGTTGAATTGATTGACGACGGCAACACCAAGATCAACACGACCACCTGGGACCAATGTGGTCGTGCCATCGCTGTCTTGCTCAGCCTGAAAGAACTCCCGGAGAATGAGAAAGACGACTCGGTTACGCTCTCTCGCTGGCGCAACGAGTCGCTCTATGTCTCGAGCTTCCTCGTCTCGCAGCGTGACATGCTTGCCAGCTTGAATAGGGTGCTAGGAACGAAGGACCGACTGGGAGACCCAGTCGGAGCCGCACCAGGAACGCTACAACCGCGGTATGAAGGAGCTGCAGGAGGGCAACATGGCGGGCTTTGCGACTGCCCTGTACATCCGCGGATTCTTCCCCAATGGCGATGGCAACTACGAGGCTAAGTATGGACTTGCAAATGAAGCTCTCGGTCTACCCAAGGAGGACCTGGACGAAGCTACCAGTACAGCCATGGCCATGGTGAAAAGGGGCTGGAACCCGTACACCAACCGCAAGTGACAGAGCTTACTGGTACTCTTACCTCCAAACTATAACTCCGAACTCTTCAGCCCGGAGTAATTGAACATCACATTCACATTGTACTCATGTACGAGCACAGATTCCGTTGAGCTCCATTTCAATATGCGTCTACATGTATATAGAAAGTAAAGATGCTCTTTTGCCCTAGTCACTTATCCGTCTCGTGTCGATTTCTTGTGCGCAATTTGAATTAGAACCTGAGAACCCCTCTGAACGTTCCCCTGCTGCAATGTTTGACTTGAATGAAACCTTCGGCAGTCACTTATCTCCATTAGCCCAGATTCTGCTCCCATCCTCTGCCAACTACGAAGCGTTAGTGACCCCGCGATGGAGTACATGGGAAGCGCCATCATTTATCGGCACTATCAAGCCGGCGACGGACGATGATGTGGCAATTATTGTAAATTTCATTCTTCATCCTCATCTCCTAGTCCTGGAACTGACACCTGTGGACGTGGCTTTAGGTCAAACTCAGTGTGAAGCACAAACTCCCTTTCTTCGCTACAGGCGGCGGCCATGGCACCGGATCAGGCTACGGAACAGTGCAGAATGCTGTCAACGTCGACCTACAAAATTTCAACAGTGTCCAGATAGATGCCGCAAACGATGAACTCACGATGGGTGGTGGAACTGCCTCTGCGCAGATCTACGGGCCACTTTACGAGCTTGGAAAAGAGTTGCGTAAGAGAAAACCATGCCATTTCTGGGACTTTGTCTCACCATCAAGTGCGGCACTAACGCGTGCAACACATACAGCAACTGGGAATTCTCCATGTGTGGGCTTGGTCGGTCTAACCATTGGGGGTGGAATTGGAACGCTACAGGGGAAGCATGGCCTTGCGCTAGATTCTCTGCTGTCAGTCAGAATGGTAACAGCTAAGGGAGACATCCTCACCGCTTCTAAAACCGTGAACAAAGATCTTTTCTGGGCCATCCGCGGTGCTGGGGCCAACTTTGGTATCATCACATCTGCCACTTATAGAATATACAATGCGACCAATGAAGGCATGGTCGTCAATGCTGATTTTGAGTTTCATGGTTCCCTCAGCCGTCAGGTGTGGAACGTGATAAAGTCCTTTGACAAATATATAGCCCCGGAGCTCTCAGTCATCTGTTCAGCAGGATGGAACCCAACCACAAATCAGGTCAGTAATTACTATCTCATATTAGCCTCTAGCATTCAAACCTATATCTCATCGCTAAATGACCCCTTCCGCTCTCCTGAATACAGTCAGAAATAAATGTCAACGCCGTATATTACGGTTCAGAAGTACAAGCCAAGAAATACTTGGCAAGATTCATTGAACTCAGTTGGAGCCGATCGAAAATTTCTAGTGTTCGCTGGCCAGAACTGTCAGATGCAGCCCAGTTTGGGCAAGAAGGGAAGGCTTCATGTATCACCGGCAACCATGTCAACATCTACACTGTAGGCCTCGGACAAACCGATACAGAAACTCTCCAAACAGTATTCGAGAAGTTGATCGCCTTCGCCAAGTCACATGCTGGCTTCAACGGGAGGTTTGGAATGCAGCGCTACAGCAATGTAGCGACCATGGCAACCCCGCAGCATGAGACTGTCTACCCATGGCGCGAGATCAAAACACAGGTGTAAGAAGATCCCCCCTATTCTGAAAAGATAATAAAATGTGTTTCAAGCAAACTTGTCAGCTAATGGATTCGAAAACAGGCTCTTGAGAAACTGGTACAAGGATCCTTCACTGGACGTTGACGTTGATCCGTTCATGCGAGAGGTGCGTTCTCTCTTGGCGTCAACAAGTGGATTCAATGAAGTACAACCTTACCTCAACTACGCACATGGAGATGAGGGTCCCAAAGCTTGGTATGGAGTATCTCTGCCAAAGTTGATGAAACTCAAGTCAAAGTGGGATCCGTCGAGCCTCTTTGGGAGAGCTTGTCCTGTCCCTTTTCATGCAGGAAGTGATTAGATGAATCAAGATACCCCTTGAACTAGTATGAAATAGCATGGTTATAAACAAAATCTTATCAGCGCAAGTGTTCTATTTCTTCCCGTTCAACACTGATGACCATGAACAAGCTCCAACCCCAATTCTTGCTCGCGGACTTGACATATCCGCGCCAAAAAGTCATCCGCTGATGCAGTGTCATGATATGCGTCGTTGTAGTTCACTGACAGATTCAATTGCCCCTTAAAAGTCCACAGGTAAAGTAACAGCTGTCTCGTCATCATTGTGACACCGAATTTGAAGTTTGTAATCTTGATTTTGACCCCTGTGCTATCTCCATACTCACCTGCAAGTTGCTTTTCGATGATACCCAGACTGCTGAGAGAAACGCTGCTGGGTGGCTTGGGGGGGCACTTCTGGGTCAACGGCCAGACGGGGAGCGAACAGGGTCTTGACATGAGTGCCTGAAATCAAGCGCAAGGCCTGCATGAACTTATTACTGTAAGCATTGCGATAAAATTCAGTTAATGTCTGCGTCTTCTCTGCAAAGGTACTCTCCCGATCTACCGCGGGTGTCATTCCAGCTACATATGTCTGACAAGCATGTGACTTGGTGTGATAGGGAGCGGGAAGGTAGGGTCGGATATTGACAGACATGACTGCTGCATACTGTGGTCTCCCTTTGACGGGATCGAGGGAAAAGACCGTGTTGGCGAGCGCCGCGTGAACTGCTGCTGTGACACTGATATGGCGCTTCTTACACGCGTCGATCAAAGCAGTGGTGCTTGACTCTGAGAAGACGATGCCGTGCTGTGAGGGATTGTTCGGGGGGTCTTCTCGTCTCCTCGATATGGCAAGCCGCCGGTATTCAAGGCAACTTGATGGTGATGGGCGATGAAATCCTGGGCATATTTCTCCATTTCGGGACCGGTCCCCACCGAAGCACCCGCATCCTCCAAGGAGGGAGAGATTTGAGCGACATCGTTGCGCCAGACGATCGATTGAACGTCTGGAGAGCTCGACAACAGAGCGAAGAGTCGATCAAGTAGCATGAGGACCCCCAGTGCGTCGACCCGCCAGTGTGAGACCAGAAACATCAGCTCGGAGGAGGCGGAGGTATAGCAGGCAAAAAGCATGTGACCAGGAGATTAACACTCTAAAGTCAAAAAACACCTTCAACCTTGTTCCACAACTAGACAATAACAACTCTCTTCCTTTGATGTGGGTCTGGGCATACAAGTTTGACGAGAATGGGTATATTCTCAAGTTCAAAGCTCGTATTTGTGCAAGAGGAGACCTTCAATGGACAGACCAGGAGATCTACGCTGCCACTTTAGCTGCACAAACGTTCCGTGCAACAACAGCCATTATTGCAGCCTACGACTTAGAAACCCGATCATACGACGTAATCAACGCCTACGTTAATGCCAGATTAAAACAACCAATCAGATGTAAGTGTCCTGAGGGATACGAGCAAAGTGGGTTGGAATGGGAAGTAATCATGGCTTTGTATGGCCTCAAAGAATCAGCCCGTCTCTGGTATGATGATATTGTCAAGACTCTCGCTGAGTTTGACCTCTACCCAGTCCCTGGAGTCCATTGCCTCTTCTCAAATAGCTGGCTTACCCTTATACTGTACGTGGATGACATAATCATTGCTTATCCCAAGGAAAATCAGTCCAAGGTCGACGAATTCGAGAAACAGCTGCTTTCGAGATATCAAATACGACAGCTTGGCGAAGCTACGCACTTCCTAGGTGTACGAATCATCCGGGACAGGCTCAGAAGGAAGCTCTGGTTAATTCAGGACGACTATATTCAAAGTCTTGCAAGCCGATTCAACATTGTTATTACCCGAGTACCACAAACACCACTCCCTACAACAAAGCTAGTACCCTGGGATGGCACAGCTTCTTCTTCTCAATTACTGGATATCAGCAAAAGGTTGGGAGTGTAAACTTTGCTTCTTGCTATACTAGACCGGATATCTGTAGAGCTGTTTCAAGACTCTCAGAATACCTAACCAATCCGTCGCCTCAACACCTCTACGCCGTTGACCACTTACTACACTACTTAGTAGGAACGTCTTATTTAGCAATTGAATTTGACGGCAACTTCCAAGGCGCGGATTCCTTTCTCTCCTGGAGCGACGCTGCGTTCGCTGACGACGTCGAAACCCGGAAAAGCTCTATTGGATACTGCTTTCAACTATACGGAGGTCCAATACACTACAAATCAACAAAACAACGACATGTGACTACCTCAAGCACAGAGTCAGAGTTTGGGGCTCTTATTGCAACCGCAAAGGAGTTCTTGTGGTGGATACGCTTGTTTAGCTATATTGAGCTACGTATTCAGGACAATCCAAACATCTACTGCGACAACCAACAAACCATTCGTCTCTTACAAAGAGATACTCCAAAGCTTGATACCAAACTTAAGCATATCGACATTATCCAGAGCTGGCTTAGGCAAGAAGTACAGGAGAAGCGCGTTAATATAAACTGGGTCCCTACTACTAGGATGGTAGCCGACGGCTTTACGAAGGAGTTATCACCTCAAAAGCATGTTCTATTCGTACAACAACTACATCTTACAGATATTAGCCTGTTGATACTTGGATCAGGTGACAGCTTTCAATAAGACGCTGTCTCCTGGGGGGGTGTGTTGTGCTGGGTCTACTTTCTCTTTTGCTCCACTTCCTTATTTGATCCACTTATAGTTCTGCTGCCTAAATGCTTCATGTCTGCCTAAACCTTACACTCTTTATATAAACACCTTAGATAGCTACCTTTTACAATGCAATCGATTCTCCATGACCTTCAGTACCCAATACCCTTTCAACCCAATAACTAGGTATGGTAATCTTTACTACATTGTTTTCTATTTAACTACATTGGGTGCCTGTTATTTCAAAATTAATACTTTGATTTGGAATTTTGTCTCCTTTGTCCTATCGCACTTCAAACTACCCATTGCGTGCTAGTGAGGCTGGTCTCAGGAGAAATACACAATGACAAACGAGAGAACCTCACTATTGGGTTCAACACCTGATAGTACAATCACCAAGGTTGATTGGGACGGAAAAGAAGATCCAGCGAACCCTTTAAACTGGTCTAAATCTCATAAATGGGGTCATGTGGCAAAAGTTTCGTTTCTAACATTTCTGGTGTAAGTCAATTAAAATTCTCGTCGCTGTCGTTACTAACTTGATGAATTGCAGCCCTTTAGGAGCGACTATGTTTGCACCGGCCTTGTTATCTGTAGCAAAGGATCTTGGAAACAAGAATGAGACCCTCACGTCGCTCACGCTTACTATTCACATATTGGGCTGGACCCTTGGACCCCTCGCTGCCGCACCACTTTCTGAAATTTACGGTCGTTGGACTACCTACACATACAGTAATATTCTCTACACCATATTCACGATCGCTTGTGCTCTATCACCCAACGTCGCTTGGCTACTTGTTTTTAGATTCTTGGCTGGTGTGGTTGGTTCAACACCGCTGGCTATTGGAGGCGGAACTATCTCTGATCTGATTCCCGTGCAGGAAAGAGGTTTCGCGTTATCTCTGTACATGTTTGGACCCATACTAGGACCTACTGTTGGGCCTGTGGTTGGTGGATTCCTGACCCAAAGTTTATCATGGAGATGGATATTTTGGGTTTTGACACTCCTTGTAAGTGTTCAACATCTTTCCCCCTCAAGCCGTACTAATAGTTCCTTTAGTACGCAAGCGTAACTGCGGTGCAAATTTTATATACCAGGGAAACATTCCCAGCTACCATCCTAGGGTGTAAGGCGAAGAAATTGCGAGAGAGTACAGGATGCCCAATTTTATGTTCTATCCTTGATGATGGGCTCCCCCGAACCCAGATTTTCCGACGTGCCACCATTCGTCCAGCTAAGATGACTTTTCTTTCCCCTATCAATTTAATCATCTCGCTTGTGTCGGCATACTTCAACGGCGCCCTTTTTCTTCTCCTTGCGACCTTTCCGACTATCTTTACGGTCGAGTACGGATTTAGTCCTAGCCAGGTTGGAATTGCCTTTATCGGATTCGGGCTGGGAAATGTTGTCGGCCTGACCTGTTTTACTCTGACTAGTGATCGTCTGATTCGGTCGCGTCTCAGGAAAGGTACCCTCAAGCCCGAGGATCGACTCGTTCCTGTGTTGGCTGCCTGTCCCCTGTTGGGTACTGGCTTTTTGTGGTATGGTTGGAGTGCCCGGCTGCACATGCACTGGATTGTGCCAATAATAGGCTCCGCTTTTATTGGTATGGGCAATGTTCTCTTCTTTTCCGCAATCATAGGATACCTAATTGATGCTTTTACTATCCATGCCGCCTCAGCTATTGCAGCAAATATTGTCATCAGATCCATTGGTGGTGCATTGCTGCCCTTGGTTGGAAAGTCATTGTATAGCTCTTTGCTTTGGGGTTGGGGCAGCACAGTTTTGGGGCTGGTGGGCTTGCTTATGGCACCGATTATGACTTTGCTGTACGTTTATGGCGGAACTATTCGAAAGAAGTATGCGACAATAATATTATGATTTAATCAGTCAGCAATCTTCCTATCAAGATTTTCATTATCACACCACGCTGTATGGCAAGAAGCTCGTAAGAATACAAATCAAAATAGATAATTTGTATGTATATATCTTATCTACTGCTCAAGTTTACGCTTTTATAGAAAGCATGATGTTTTCAAGAACGCCTAATATCACTACGTGTCCCTTGTTTTCATTCCGACAAGGTGGTTTCAGAGTGTAAAAGCTTGCTTCTTCATGAATTTGGCATTGCAAAAGCATTAAAAGATTTAGTATCCAGTGGTATTTTTAGCAAATTGCGAACTTTGAAAGGATTTCGAAGCCTGAAATCTACTTCCGAAGTTCTTGATGTCTGACTGGCAATTGTGATGCATTTTTCGGGACCTTCTTTGACAGAACACGGAGTAGTTTGAATATCTTCCGGGAATTACTCAGCAAGGTCAACGGGAAGTCCTTGACGCAAGACATATTGGTTTCTGTCAAACAGCGGGATATGGAAATGAATACAGTATACTATGGCACCAATAAATAGCTATCTGGGTCCTAGGAGATTGATGGATTGACAGATGGAATCCTCAAGCATTAATTCGTTATGAATCAGCTCGCTTGAGTTAACCACAATCATTAAATTTCACTTGTTCCAAACTGTTCGTAGAACCGCTTGAACTGTGCCAGAGCTTCTTAGATAGTACTACGACTTAGTCACAGGAGATACAGGCCAAGGAGATAGCAAGGTTAAACACACCACTTGTACAAGTCGCAGTTCATTATATCTTTGTATGAAATCTTAAGCATCATCTTCAAAACTCATCTTAGTGGCATAAGATCTTGTCCAACTGTCTAAAGACTTGACTGTCACCAAATTGTATCTTACAGAATCTCAATTCACGTTGAAGAACCAAGGAAACTTGATGTTGGGCGTGGGGTAGCAGCCAGTCTACAAATCGCCCAATCTTGTTTTGTGCGTTGTTTTCCGTCGGCTGCAAAATTGCTATATTATCATATAACAATGTGAACTGTTTAAACACTTCCAAATTCCCGTGATATACAACATACTTCTCGATCATGTTTATAATACATATTGTATGTGGTTCTCGAAAAGAATACATATCATGAAAACCATCCTAGAACAAAATCACATGGCGTCTCTCTTCATCTGTGCAAGTCCAACACTGACTTTAGTGTTCAGTAGGCGGAGAAAAATACTAGAATCTGTCCCGCCTTATAAGCGCAAGGATAATATTATTCAGTTTCTTTCGCGATTCAACTACTCGAGTATATCTGAATTAGTCATAGGTAAGTGGCCGTCGAATATAGCTTTACACCCGAATGCTTGGCATAATATCCAGAGACGACTTTAAAGCGTAGCTATTAAAACTTAGCTAAACTAACTAAAAGATATCATTTCTTATACTAAACCTATATACTTACCCTCTAGATAATAGGAAGTATTAAGATCAAATATATTTAAAGGAATCTAGAACCCTATTTAATAATTATTAATTAAAGATTTCCAATTTTCTTCTAGGTTTAAAACTTTATATAAAAATCTATATTATATAACTACTTACTACCCCAGCCTACCTAAATTATAATATTCGAGGTTGTCCACTTGCTTTCGGAATTTACAATTTAGTAGTAGTACCGTATTATATTATTCAGCTAGCGCCTTCCGAACTAATTCTTTGCTTGACTGGGACATGGGAATTTGCAGAGCTAATTCATGACCCTTCTCGCTCATCTTTCCCCAAGTCTTCCGTAGTATCATGATAATCTTGCTCTCGTCATGCTCCTTCTCAAATGCTTCGAACTGATCATCTAAAAAGACCAAGCACGCCACATCCTCGAGTATTTGTGTTTCCTCGTTGTTCCTCAAATCCTCCTTCCGTATCAACTTCGCAACCTCGTCCGCCTCCTCGGTCGTAAAATTGCACCCCATACATATCGCCACCGCCAGCTCTGCCTGTCGCTTCTTCAAGAACGTACGCCAGCTCAAATATCCGGCTTTCGTCATGGGGTAAGAGCCGCGGAGTATCTCCCATCGACGGAAGTGTTGTGCGCGGATGGCAACTTTCAGAACAGGAGAGGCATCTGGTGCGCGAAGGGAGAGGTAATGTGTCATTTTTCGCGCGTAGTGGAGTTCATAGGGAACATCTTTGCCATCGACAATGGAGATTTTGGGATCGTGGGCGTGTGCTTCGTCGATGAGCGCGATGGCTGCTTCGTAGTTAGTGGCAGCCATGCTGCGGATCAATGTTGCTGTGCTCGGTATACAGGATGAAGCAAAATGGTTGATGTGGAGCGGCTTGGAATCCAAGGATGGGCTCAGAGTGTAACTTTCGTCCTGGGTGGTAAGGGTCTTTGGAGGAGAGGGGTGAAGGTATTCCCAGAGTGATGTCATTACCCGCTTCTCATCAACCCCACCCCCACTAGTTCGCTTCGCTAAGCACTTCGCTCGAGCTGTGTGCAACTACAAGTACAATAACAGATATTTCCTGTAGGAGGTACTGTGGAATGGCACTTGGAAACAATAAATAAGGTGATTTTGTAGGGTTACAACTGAGAGAGAAAAAAGAACTATCTATAGTAGTACGAGGTATATAGATAACCTAGGGCTAGTCCCTAGATAGGTCTATATCCTAAGGTATAAAGTATAGATACGGAATACTACTATACTAACATACCTCTTATTTAGTATATATATAATAGCCTCGTTAAAAACTCTTAAACAAGTAATTTATCCTTCTTAGTTCGGCAGCTTTAATAAACCTAGTAGCTTTTGTGACGGAGCTTGATTTCATTTGACAGGATTTCATTCGCTTGGCCAAGCACGTGACGAGACTTGGCATTGGAACAACTTAAATAACTTCGCTCCTTTCAGATTCTCTTCTCTCTTTAGTTTTATTTCTTCGTACCTACGGTTTTAGTTCTAGCAATTGATTCAAAAGCTGTATACACTTTATCCTTTGTTGGCATCCGTGACACTAGTATGATACCTAACTCTTTTACTTATATAAACCTTTAAATTATTATATAAAAGGAACGTATTTAGTAATTCGGAAAAGTAAAAATCCTTATCTAATAAAGAGAATATATCGCTTCATAATAGTAAATAATTATTAGCTAGCTTCGAGCGTAGCTACTCCTTCGGGACTAGCGTACTTTAGTATCTATAAGTACGTAGGTACTTAGCTAGCTATACTTACTTTAGTATATAACTAGAGACAGCTATTACCCTTATTAATATAGGTCTTTTATATTACCTACTTAACTAAATAAGTTAAACTAATAGAATATTTTATTTAACTTTTTATCTTATAGCTTATTCTTATCTATAATACTCCTAGCGTTTATAAATATACGCTTACTAAAAAGATTAATACTACTATCTAAGATATAAAGTATATTCTTTAGCTTAATACTATAGAAGTTCTAATTTCCAAGTCTAGTATAAACTTATGGAATTAGAGTTCTAATTCTCTTAATCTTTATAGTTCTACCTATAGTTTTAATAGTACTAAGATCTCTTTTATAGAAGTTATCTTTAAAATAGTATCTATCATACATAATATATAGGTCTACGCTAGTATTATTACTAAAACGTTTACCCTATAGCTTAGATTAATATATAAAGGTAGTAATAAAGTTAAAGTTAAGTTTTATTAATTTAATAATATTTACTATTTTAATATCATAATATCTAAAGGTATCTTTAATATTTATAGTATTATTATTTTTAGAATCCTTAAATAAAAAACTACTAGACTTTATATTTTCTTTCTTATAAGCTATATGTCACGATTACGAAATCGTCAGGTGACATTTGGGACCATGGGCCCAGACAGCACTTCGCTGACAGGAGAACCCATTGGTATTTAACCAAATAGTAAGGATCGGGTGGCTGCATCAGGCTAGCCAGACGATCCGAGGAATTTCTCAGCGACCAGAAATCACGTGACTATATCGACTTGATCGAAATCGATAAAAGCGATGATCGATTTTATCGATAGCGATGTTAGCGATATATTGGGAACGAAGGTTCTATATAAGACTGGCACGTCTGCCATTAGATAGGAGCTTCGTGCTCAACTTAGTTATCAATCTTATCATATTAGTTTGACATCTTTGATACAAGTAACGAGTTCACTTCCAAGTGAACAACCCGATAGTCTTCTTCTTATCATAGCATACCAACCAGCGAACACCCAGCCAAGTTTAGTTAGCCAGTTTGAGTATTCGTTACACTATACCTTTCTTCTTTTTTTACTTCTTTTTTTCCTTTTAGTTTTAAAGAAAACTAAAATACTTCTTAGGTTTATACTTTATTATCTTCTTATAATAAATGTATTTCTTTAGATCTTTATTCTTAGATTAGTTAGAACCTAGCTAAGAGTTCTTATTATTATTATTACTACCTTTTAATATCTAGTCTTAGTAACCGAAAAGTATTTAGCTAGTAAAAGCATCTTTTAGATAAGCTTTATTTATAATATCTAGGATAAGATTATTAATATCTAGTAGATTAGATTATTAATATCTGGTAGATTAGATACGCGTAATTTAGTACGCTTTTATATAGCTTATATAGAGAATAAGTATATTAAAGTATAAGTTATATAAAAAGTAATATATACTACTTCTTAATATTAGTTAACTCTAAGTTTTTTAAATAGTATTTTATATTATTAAAGCTATTAATAAACTACTCTAAATTATTATATTTCTTATATATATTATTTATATAATTAAGGATAGAATTAAAGATAAGAACCTTACCCTTTCTAGAGTACTTTTATTTAAAAATATCCTATATAGATTTAGTAGAATTAAATATCTTTATAACTTTTCTAGGTATTAATTTAGTATTATTTATAATTATTAAGTATATCTTAGCTTCGTATTTATTATATTTAGCCTATTCTTTTACTTATTCTTTAGTTTTACCTACTTAAAGGTTCTAGTAATTAATATGCTTTAGTACTTTAACTTTACCTAGGAGAAATACCTATAGCTAATATTACCTAGCTAATCGAAGTATCTTATTCTTCTAGATTAGGTAATTAGACTTACCCTTAAGCCGAAGCCTACCTAGTAAAAGAAGGGTACTTCCACTACTTAAAGGATTATTATTTAAATCCGCTATATTATTTCCTAAAGTAAAAAGTAGGTTTAGATCTAGTTCTTATAAGAGTTCGCGACCGCGATAAGATTAGTAATAAGTAGGTAATAGTATTAGTAAATTGTATTAATCCTTACTTAGCTCGGATTCTAATTTATTACTACTATTTACTTTCCTAGGTAAATTATATAAAAATTAATTTATAAACCCTAAAGTAGATCCCTTTAAAAATTCTAAAAATTCAGGTTTTTTAGAAGAAAACTCTAACTTTACCTTAGAATTAGAGTATTATAAAGCTAGTAGTATAGTAGTTTTAGCTTAAGAATAGGTCTAAGGTACTACGTATTCGTACGCTTAATAAAATAGTAGGATTTTAGGATATTAGACCTAAGTTTTTTCTTATAATCTCTCTTAATTTAAGAAAGAACTTTATAATACTTTTAAAAGACTTTAAGAATACTAAAAAGTAACGCTTTAAGGTAGTTCCTCTACCGCGTCTTCGAAAGCTCTAGGAATTATAAATTCGCCCTTGTTTTTAGAGTATTATATCTTCGTAGATTTAGTAAATAGATTATTAATATTAAAAGTCTCTTAAACGCGTTCTCTTACTTCTTTACTAGATATAGTTCGTAGATAATCTTAGTATAATAGACGTTATAAGTTATAGTAACTTTATAAAGAAATAGGTAAAACTATAACTACTAGCTAAGTGTAACGAATACTCAAACTGGCTAACTAAACTTGGCTGGGTGTTCGCTGGTTGGTATGCTATGATAAGAAGAAGACTATCGGGTTGTTCACTTGGAAGTGAACTCGTTACTTGTATCAAAGATGTCAAACTAATATGATAAGATTGATAACTAAGTTGAGCACGAAGCTCCTATCTAATGGCAGACATGCCAGTCTTATATAGAACCTTCATGTTCCTGTGCTAGCTTGCTAGCCCAGTCGCCCTGTCGCTGCAAGACCGCGCGACCGGTCGCCCTGTCTAGCACAACTAGTCACGTGATACGAATGGAATGAAATCCCTGGATC